TGATTGCCATCAGATTTGGTACATGTTGGTAGATGATCATGGGTCCCAGATGATGAATCCAATTGACTTTGGCGATCCCCTGACCTTCACTTTTTATTTAACCTTGGAAATACCTCATGCTCTGGCACTGAACATTGGCCCTGGATGTAAATCATGAATCTTCTAATTCTTCTTCTTCAAGATAATTGCTAGGAATATTGGGCAGTGGTGACCCCAGAAATGTCTCATAAGGAAGGCCAGATAGGGCCACTGAAAACCGGGGTGGTGGTTGAAGTTTGAAGTGTATATATTTAAAAGGTACACATTAATTAACACAAGTACTTAAGTCCACTATGTAAATGTGCCAGATATAAGCCACAACATGAGCCATACAAGCTAATTTTCATCTGCAGTCCCTGGCAGGTTTATGGCATATCAGAAACATAAAAAAATCACATAAGCACAGATAAAAGCACAGAAGGACAAACATACAAACTTACAGGACGTCAGTTGAGTAGGCGGCCCTCCAGTGTGGCCATCGGCGTCCCAGACCACCTAAGCAAGTGGTTTGAGTGATCTGATCACACAAGATGCATGTTAATACCAGGTGTAAACCGTTTGAGCTGAGTTTAAGGTCACTGATTCACCACCTCACAGGAAAAAACATATATCACAACAACAAAATTTGTAGTTGTTGGAGGTAATTCAGCGGACCAAGCAAAAACATATCAAGCTGAGAACGCTGCACAAAGGTACAATAAAATCTACCTCTATATATCTATCATCTATCATGATTGCAGAAAGCATTGTGGAGACGACCCACTTTCTTAATTCATGTTTTCTGACACAGCCAAATAATCTGCCAAAAGGACATGTGTTTCCGACATCACTGAAGGAATATCAGAACTAGTCACTCGCTACAATAACACACTGATGAGTCCACTCAGACTCGTGGTTGGGACTTATAATGACCAAGTAAATAAACACACTCTTCAAGGAGACGCAGGTGTATGGTCACGAACATGGTCATGAACTCAACAAGGAATGACACACTTTGCAACACACACAACAAAATGCATCCCATAAAAACACCAAAACATAAATTTCTTAGGAATGACTAAATATCAGGCAGCTCTGTGAGGCCGTATTTAGACACAGCAGTAACAGCAGCATACTAGCATGCTCACAATGGCAATGCCAACATGCTGATGTTAAATTTACAGTGCAATGTTTATCATTTCCACCATCTTAGTGTGGTGTGTCAGCCAGCTCATTAGCACTAAATAATACAATTAATACAACTGATGCTGATTGTTTTCATGTTCAGAAGCATTTAGTTATAAATCAAATTATTTTTACCTGATTTACCAATTTATGGGGTTGGGGATGAATGTCTGTATCAAATTTATTTATGTTGTATTTATTACTGTTGAAGTAGTATAGTATACCGGTATACCAGAGTCTTCAGAAAACATTGTCGGGGGACCTTGGATATCTGTTCAAAAGTTCATGGTACTATAATGAGATTTCAGTCTGGACTAAGGCCCTGCCATCCCAAGAGCAGCTAGCAGTTTCCATATGATACAAACAAGACAAATAACAATGGTTTTCAGTCTTGGTTTTTGAAAGAATATCATAAAAAGAAGGTGAACAGGGCTCTAATTGAGATGCAATCTTCTTGTGGTTTTTACATTATGGGAAGATGTGAATCCCAGGTGAACCAAATAAACAAGTAAAACATTTTTAAACTGCCTGACTTCCAGAAAGTCATGCTTCCCATTAAAACAATAATTGTTGTTTTTTGTAATATATACAGTATATTTTATAATTGTAAATACTTGCATATATATTTATTTTTATCTTGTTGCTCCCACAAAAAAGAAAAGAATCATCTGTCTAAACGGCCAAATACCTACTGAGTTTTAACCAAGAACTGTGAATGACACAAGCCAGAGGTAGCAGGATCCTTAGACAATTAAACAACATTTGCAGCAATTTTCAGAAACTGGTAATCTAAAACATATTGTGTTGGGATGTAAGCTGCCTCACTCACAAATAAATTTTGAGAAGAGATGATGACTGTGGGAGAAGACCTTCAGCTGGGTCACATGTCTTTGGGTCCTCACACTGTTTAATTCTTTTTCAATTAAACATTTGAGCAATAGAGTTAAATGCCATATAGATTTATTGTAAGTTTCCATGGTCCATGGAGCAAATAATCAGTTGTGTCTTGCGTCTATCTTCATCTAAAAGGTCAACATTACCCTAATTACCTTTTTTTGACAGCACTGAGTTTCAAGTTAATTGCCTGGCACTGTTATACTCCATTGTTTTCACCCTTAAAGAGTTTCCACCCCCAGCAGATGCATTGAAGCAAAACGCCCTCTCAGTCCCTGACATTGTTTCTGATTTGTTAAAAATAAAAATCTTTAATGTATGAGTTTGATTATTGCATTGATTATACATATTTTAATCCATATAGCTAAATTGTATTTCCCATAATGACTACTGTAGTCTTCTTCAATTCTATTATGCTTTGCACATGAAAATGCTGTCTTAATGAACTGGCTGAGAATGCCAGTCACTCACTGTGCACAGATGCCATTGTTTCTTGTTTAGTTCAGGTTTCTTAGCAACAAAGGCAACACAGAGCATGAAGTACCAAAGGTTCTGAGCTGGAGGCTGCTTTCACAGGTAAAGTTGTTTTCTATGTTTGCTTTTTCTAAATCTGAATACATTATTTTCCTAAAAGATTTCTTCCAGGTAAAACACAAAACATACCTTCATTGGTCAACATTTAAATGCAAAGATGCAAAGGTATATTTGAAATTTCGGAGTGGATAGAGTTTAAGTAGTCTCTGTCTTGTTTTTAGTTAGGTTTTAGTTTCAAGAGTTTTTTAGCATGTGTGGTCACAACTTTTCCTTGAATATGAATGTCTCTTTCTATCATGACACTTCAGAAAGAGACTTTACTTAAAAATGTTTCTTTTATTCTTTCAGATTCAAACGAAACCACCAGCTGTCATTCTAAGATATGTCAATAGCACAGAGCCCAGACTCCCGGGGGACGACAGGAGAGAGGAGCCGAGGTCAAACTAATCAGGTGCCGTTCACCACTGAATTTACCAAGATGCTGCCGACAAGCAGTGCACGCTTTGGTACCTTGAGTCATCACTCATTTTTCTCCCGACACAACCCTCATCCACATAGGGTGAGACATATTCAAGGTGAGCAAGTTGATTAGAAAGTTGAATCAATCCATATGCTTCCCTAAATTACAGTAAATTAATGTGTTTTTTCATTCATGTTTGAAAGTACAGACGTCAAAATCATTTATGATTTCCCTGGGTATTTAACTCCAGTAAACAAGGCAACCTGAAGAAATAAAATCAGCAGCTCATTCTGGTTCCCATTTAGGTTTTCTATTGGAGCTGTTTCACTCTGGCACAGCGGTGCTTTGAGCTAAATGCTTAAAATACTAACTTGCTGAAGCTTAGCAGTTATAATGTTTACCATGTTTACCAAAAAATATGGAAAAATATGTTGTGGAACAACATTGAATGAATATGATTTATGTTGAGGGAAAAAACAAGAATTTATAAATTATTGGGCTGACCTTTATTTCACTTAAAATAAACTTGGATGCTTTTTTTAAAATTAGTTTTGGTTCCCTTGTCATCTGGCTTTTGAAGGGGGCATGCCAGAAAATGCCACCAGTTTGCTATTGTTTGCTAAATAGCATGAAAAAATAGATGAAAAATCAGGGCATCAGAGGAATTACAATTCATCTTCTGTGGAACAAGTTTTCCACTAATCCATCTAAAAGTTGTCAGGGTATTTTAATAACCAAAAATGTCAACCTGCTGGTGACACTAGTGGAAAAGTTGATGTATGTGTACCAATCCATTAAGTAAATGTGAGATAATTCACTGGCGGTGCTATAGAGGAAAAACTCAGGATTCATCCCCTGATTACCAAGGATATCTGTACCAAATTTCATGCCAGTCAAATAATTTTCACAAAAAGATTAAAAAACTTATAGCACCAGAGGAAAAGTCAGGGATCAGAAATCATTAGAATTTTTTATCTGGGGACCATGAATGCCAATCCATCATTAGGACCAACTAACAGACAAATGAACCGTCCAGCAGACTGGCATAAGCCTACTGGCATCGCCTACAGTCACCCCATGGCTAATGTGTTAACAGCTTGTTCTGCTTCCCCTTAAGTAGAATTGTTCCTTTGCCAGGACTGCAATTAGAAAACTGCAAAAGAAATCTCTCACTTTCACTACCACATTTATATAAATCTTGTTGGAATTTCCACATTGTGGGACAAATAAAGGAATATCTTATCTTATCTTATTTTACACTGAACAATAATAGTCCGTTGCACTCGCTAATTACATGTAATGCATTCATTTAGCTTAAAATGTCTTTGCAGCTTTGCTTGCTAGCAGCCGTTAACAAGGTCCTTATTCTGACCTCGCTGTGGAAACCATCCTTCCTATATGTATATATATGAGAAATATGTTATGAGTAGCAGCACATAGAATAGTAATATGATACATGAAAGGGACAACTGCATTATTGTTAGTGAAGTATGTTTCAACCCTGAGGTTCTCTTGAAGTTGCCACCGTTGAACGTATTTCTTCAGGGCAAGGCTTTGATTGTCCCACACTTCTGAAGTACTACCTTGTGTGTATGTGCATGTGTGGTGAATATTATGCCTTTCTTTTTCCCACAGGACTCAATGGTAGGCCTGTTTGCACGGTGAGAGATGATTGGTATGTCACCTCATCATTATTCCCTCATCCACTTCTGAAGAGCCACGTCCTCAGGAAAGCAGCTGGTCCATCTTTTGCCTTTCCGCTTGCTCAGAATCATTATGGAGTCAGCAGTAACAAAAGCAGATCAGGTGTGTTTACACTCACAGCGGCTAGATTGTTGCTGATCTGCCTTCAATGAGTCCCATTGAGCTTTAGAAAAACAGTAGTAATTTTTGCTTTTTATTTCACAGCACTATTCTCAGAAGCCTGGAGGGATGAACTTAAAGAACTCGCTGCAAAAGTCAGTGTGTCTTCTAAAGCACAAAAGGACAAAAAAGAGGTAGGGTACCAGTATTGCTGTAATTACTGTAATCTGAAATATCTCCGGGGTAATTAATAGCACTGTACACACCACCCATGGCTACTGAAGTTCTCACAAACAAACAAATAATACATTAATAATTAATATTCTAAATAATATATAGGATATATTGCATATTATGAGCAGCATAGATTCTCCAATACTGAATTTCCAACAACATTTGGCAACTTTTGGGATAATTGGCTTTTACTGTGGGTGTGACATAGAAAGGCAATGTGAGTCAGTGCTCAGTCTCAGAGGTAGCAGTTCTTCCCTGACCCACCACAAGCTCAACCAACTCAATGTTTTAGATTGTGGCCGTGGTCTGGGTTAAGGTCTGTCTGGGAGGCACAACCTACAATTACCCATAAGCTGTCATACGTCTCTTCAAAAAAGTTTCTAAGACATGACCTAACCAAGAATAACAAATGAATGTATGCCTCAAGGCAGAAGTTGAATTTATGCTGCTGGGTATGGAAATAATTTTGGTTATGTTGAGAAAGGCTGATTTTTGTGTTCAGTGCTAAATAGCAAATGTTAGCATGCTAACGCGCTAAACTATGATGGTGGAAATGGTAAACATTGAGACCACGTGTCATTGTGAGCATGTTAGCATACTGACTTTAGCATTGAACTGAAAGCACCACTGTACAATAAGAGTCTCACAGACCTACATGGATTCTTAGTCGTGTTAAATCCTTCTTGTTTCTAATTTCCTAAAAAAAAAAATACTTCCTTTAAATTAAACTGTTTGTACTGCACGGTTTTGTCAATGTATTCTAGGAGCAGCCCGAGGAAGAATTTGCTTGCAGAAAGACCCAGTATTCAGCTGAAACCGGGAGAATCATCCCTCCATCCTCCAAGTCTTACCAACGCAGATCCCATTCTCAGGGCCTGATGTATCCTCAGCCCTTCCATGACCAAGAGCTCATGGTGAAATACTCTTCCACGTCTGTTTAGCTTTTCCACAGTTAGAAAAAGTGTAATTTGTATGATATGAGGCATTGCCATGTAATATTAATTCCTTGTTTATTGTGTAGTTGTGTTGTTAATGTGTTAATGTCAATGAGACTTCCTGATTAAATAAAGACTTTATATGAATATATATTATTTCTGAGGCGAAGGATTAGCAGCAGATCAAAAAGAGCTTTCCAACATCATGGACATTTTCCAGGGCACACAGCTTTTTCACAAGGTTACGCTGCATTTGTATTTTTGTTGGAAAACAGCCCCCAGCACAACTCGTCCTGAGAAATTTAAATTTAAATATATATATAATGTATGTGGCTTGCAAGCTAATGTTGTGATGGTCCTGCTGCTCTCTTGTCAGGTTTTGGAGCTACTTTGTCAGATCCTGCAGACAGATTCCCTGTCCACAGTCCAGCAGTGGCTTCTGCTTTCAGGCCAAAGAGGTAAAACCCTTCTTCCTTCCACATAAATAATGAGCTTAGTTTCTGCACAGTGACAGCTGATTTTTTTATTTGCACAGTGCTTTTCTAGATGCCGAACAACATTTCAGGTACTACATGTCAATTTGTCACAGTGTTGTTGCAGTTCATAGTGTGATAATTACATTAATTCAAGGGTTATTCAGAAGGTTGACAGAAAACCGGTAGCTTCAGGTGATGATACAAAGGCTCCCAGTCACTTCAACCGTCACAATTAATTTGACATAAACACTATTTGCAGAAATGTGTTGCATGTCTTACATCAGTTTCTCTGTGAATGTTATATTTTGACGTTTTGTCATTTCCCACAATGCACTGCAATACTTTCATTATACCCTCCCTGCCTGAAAGACATTCTTAAGACATCCTTTTTCTTTTTTAAATAGTTTTTTTATTTTAAATAAACAGAATACATCAGAAATATACACACATATTATTAGTCTTCTTTTTTCATAGGCTAATTACATTCAGTTAATTAAGTGATACCTTCAAAATAATTACATTAAACTGATGATGATTAAATGATGAAGGAATTAATGAGCTCTTGAATTGCTTTGCTAAATACATTTTAAAAGGGTTTTTAATTTTACTTTTGTGACTTTGATGGGTTTAATTACTTTTTAATTGTGTCAGTTAATACTGTCATTTAAATGAACCAGTAAGAGAGTGTATAATTGGTCCGGTGGCATAATCACTGAACTGTTCTCCTGGTATTAATGTGGTTTACCCTCAGAGAAAGACCTGGTGATGGGGATGATGAAACAAGCTCTAGATGGTGTCGACCTCTCAGGTCATCATCAGCAGAACTTCCAGCAGGTCCAGGGTTTTCATCCTGGTGCATCTCCACTGGTATATGGTCCATCATTTGACCAGTCACAGAGAACACCACAAAGAACGAGGTCGGTATGATCTCTGGAATTTTGGAATCCTTTGGTTCAAAACTTTTCAAGCTCAATGTTTTTAATATTATTTCATTTACCTCCGTAGCTCATACAGAATGAACCGAGCTTTCAGCGGTGACAAACCAGGTAACTACATATATGTATTATATATAGTGTTGCTTTTCTCATTAGCCTAGAATTTATTGGCACATACATTCTGATTTGCAAGGAATACTGTTATGTTTTGTGTATTTGTATGTGCATTTTGCAATTCAGTACAGTCTCTGAATGTATGGAAGTTTTTCTCAATATATAGACCAACCCCTGTTGAGAAGTAGTCACAGTATGAAAGGCTTTCTTCAAATTGTCTGTATCAATCAAGTGGCTAAGAAGAGTTTTTTTCACAACAAAATTGAACCATAATATTCAGAGTGAATACTGGTGGCGATGTTATGTAACATGTTTTCATTTTCAAGTTATTCTGAATAGAAAGGATGGAACTTGTGAATACTGTAAAACTACTGGCTAAATTGAGTGTTCTTTTGCAGAGAGGATTGGAGATGCAGAGGTCCTTGAAGTCCATGCAGGAGCTCAAAATAAACCTCAAGATCATTTACCTCAGCCTACAGACAGTGTATAGAATTCCCGTTTCATTGTGGTGATAACTGTATTATGGTTTCCTTATTATGAGAATTGATTGGTTCCTTTGTTTATTGGTCCCATGATATATGGTATCCCAGGTTTTCTTTAGCATATTTGATTAGATGATTATAAGAAACAGAAGCCAGTTTAATAAAAGGATTTCTTTAGATTGTATTCACACTTCAGTAAAAGCCGAACTTCCACCAAACATTTCAGTCCCCTTGAAACCCATACCTAACCTATGACCACATGTACCTAAACCCTAGATCTGTTTTGCTCTTAAAAGACAAGTGTGTAAGAATTAGTGGCATCTAGCGGAGTAGTTATAGATTGCAACTCCTTCGCTTAACCCCCCTTCTAAGCATAATGGAGAAACTACAGTAGCCATGATCTAGAGCCAGTGGCCAGTGTTTGGTTTGTGCCGTGGTATCTGTAGAGATTAAAGGCTCATATTAAGGTAAAAAAAAAACTAACATAATCATTCCCATATTCCGGTGATTAATACACTAATGAAAACATATGACTTTTTCCAACAGAAACACAAAAACAACTTTTCTAATGTGTAACAAACTGAAATGAAGTGGACTGCTTCATGGAAATTTGGCTCAATACAACATACTGTAGCTGTGATAGTGTTATATGATACTGTGGATGATGTTACATAATTGCATATCATTTGTCTGACAGATCATGTTTTGAAACTGAGAAAAGCAGAGTGACAGGATTAACAAGTATAACCTGTTGTTTGAAGGGAAACAAAACGGATGTTGCTATGTTGCTGTAGTGATGTGTGTCAACATAATTTTTTAATTTTAGGATTTAGGGTACATAAACAAAACAAAAAAAATATCTGTACCACATGTGCAACTCTTGACAGATCCAATAGTCCAATAGGTTTATGACACTATTATCATGCTAACACACTGAATTAGGATGGTAATAAACACTGCTTAACATCAGCGTGTTAGCACTGGTATCATTACGAATGTTGATCTTTAAAAAGGCCTTAGGGAGAAACAGCATCAGAATAAAAAAGAATTGCATTAATAAAAAAGAAATGCATTATGAAGACAATGTGTGACACTTTTTGCCTACTCTTTAGCACAGTTAAGTACAGCCTCACACAATGTGACTTGTTTCCTCATGTAGAGGCTTTTATTTCTCAGAGAAGACAAATAAGAAATGAGATGACTTTCTCTTCCACCATGTGAATGTTTTAAGTGGCAATATATTTAGCAACAAAATGGTACTTATAATACCAGTCTTGCTAACTGCATGTAAATCACCAGCAGACCAGAAAAGCCTCTTTCCTTTGAGATGAGTTTATGATGCCAGTGCCCCATGGGCATACTTTACTGATAGGGTTGCCTTGAAAAATGTTTTGAGCTTGAATTCATAAATAATGCATGTCCCATATAAGTATTATTCTAAATTTCTTCTCTTCACTATGTCTCTCTCCCTCTCTCTCTTTCTCTCTAGAGACATAGAGTACAATCTGAGTTTATCACATTGCAGATCAGGTTGGCAGAATAATAAAGATCAGGCTCACCTAATCATGCAGTAGCTAACTGAATGAAATGTCAAAATATCAGAGGTTATTTAACTGCCTCAGACTGTCATGCTAGTGCATGGTTGCTGTAAGAAAATAATGGATGTTGTGATGTGACTGACTTAAGAAAACATGTTGTAAAGATGGTGACAGCCAATTTGGGGCGCTGACATTTCTCAAAAGTCAGGTGTAAAAGCAGATCAATGCATGGCAGAGCAAACAGGTGGAGAAAATTGAAGTCTGTGACAGCAGGAAAGGATGGAAAGCAAGCTGAAGAGTTCCCTTACTGAATACCCCTGATGAAAAAAATCCATATAAAATGTAATGCATTCAAAATTCTACCTAAGTAAAAGTATCAGCTGAGAAAAACTGGGGGGGCAAACTTTTATAATGTAGAATAACTGAATAAAATGTTATAAAAAGGGAAACAAACAGGATATTTTGCCTTGCAGCAAAGTGCACCCAGTCTTATTTAAAAGTCCCTGTGTTATTTAGGAGGCTCTATTGGCAGAAATAGAATTTCATATTCATAACTGGGTTTTCATTAGTGTCTAATCTCCTGAAAATAAGAATATATTATGTTGCCTTAGAATGAGCCATTGTATCTGCAGACCCAGTGGGTCGCCTTCCATGAAACTGCCATGTTGAACCGCCACGTTTCTACAGTAGCCCAGAATGGACAAAACCAAACACTGGCTCTAGTTACGGCCATTTGCATTTTTCATGAGTTTTGTGGTCACCATAGTTTCTTTTTTGCATTTGCAAGGAGAAACTAAATCGTAGTGGTTACAGTCTGAATTCTTTGTTTTAAAGATGGTGACAGTCACTTTGGGGTGCTGACATTTCTCAAAAGTAATTCACTTTAATTGTGAAGGTTATCTATGTAATGTAGAAATAAACCTTTTCTTAAGGCTGCAAATAAGCAGATTTCAGGCATATTTGGCTAAATGAATACACACACACTTTAGTGCCATTGAACCTGAATATTTTATTTTATAAACAGTTTAAGGGTGTAAGTAACAGACTAAATAACTTCCCTACCACTGTCATACAAAGGAGATAAATGAATGTTAAGGGATTTTATTGGTTCTGTAAACAAGATGTCTGTATTCCAGTATGTTCCCAGCATCTCTGTACTGTTTTTTGTCTTTCTATATATATTTTATTTAGTGTGGTATTGTTTTTCTGTTTCTTATAATTAATGTGCATGTGTTTACAAGAACATATGAGAGACTGGCCAGAGAGTCTGTGGGTATCTAGTGGATAGCTCGAGAATGGCAGGTCTGGAGAGTCAGAGGAGAGCACAGTACATGGCCTCTGGGAGGTGATCAGGGGCTGGAAAAAGGGACTGAGAGCCAGGCCAGGCAAAACCAATAACAATTAAAACTGCAAGCAGTGATGATAGGGCCCTCGCACTCAGTGCGAGGTGGGGTGTGCTGCCGTCGGGTCATGCACCAGTACATAATGACAACACCAAGCTACGAAACATTCACAGAAATCACATCACAATTGCCATACAACGCTTTCTTCCTGTTGCCAGTAAGTGGCGCTACCAGTATGACTGAATATTGGCACTTAAATGTGTTCAGGACGGGACTCTTTTTAAATCTACAAAATTTAGTGGAGATTGAACCATGTACACAGAAGTTATGATAACTTCCTGCTTCCTGACATACAGATATAAAGAGCACAATACTAGTATTGGCATATTGTGTTGTGTATATCATACTACATACTATTCATGTTTCCATGTAACTCAGTTAGATTAGTCTATAATATGTGGAGTTTGTTGGAGGAAAAAGAGGAAAGAGCTTTAGAGTAACAGTAAGGTTGGGGATAAGTTTAAAGTGCTATTGTATGGGTTGGTGAGATAAAGTAAACAACAGTACTATGAGAAGCTTCAATGGTTGTTTCAGTCATCAACTCTGTTTTGTATGCAATGATGAACGTCAAACACACAATCATTTACATAGCTAAAGCCCCTTGTTTCAATAATCATGTGTGAATAAGTTGTAATCTGTGTCCTGTGGAGTCCACTTTCAATGTGTTTTTCCTGTACAAACATCAGGTTGGGAGATGGAGATGACCTGAAAAAAGTTACAGGAGTCTGCGTTTATGTAATTATTTGTAGTACATTGTTATATATAATTGTAGTTAACAATTGTGTGTTTGTGTTATGTGTGTATGATGTTGCAGTGTGACCTTTGTATGTGAAACTGGCACAGATGTGATTACGGTAATAAAAAAACTATTTCAGTAATTTGTGTGTTTGTTTTTAATTTCAATAATAATGTATAGTGAGAAGCAAAAACTAATTCATTAAAAATATATATTTAAATGTACATTTAAATAATAACAAGTAATTTTTTGTGAGCTGTCGAGCATGGGAAAGTGTTGCGATTAAAGGCGCAGAAAAATAATAATAATGCCTACAATTACAAAAGGTCCTTGCACTGGTCAGTGCTCGGGCCCTAACTAGACAGTCCTCCTGACAGGAATGGAGAATGAACTAAATCAGGCATTTGCTTGACTGACAATATTTGCTAGTAGGATCAATACATTTTTTTCATGAGATTTTGACATTAAGAAAAATATAGAATATTACCAGCCTTATCCTTAGCATGTTTGTGTCTGCTATTAACCCGAGCAGACGTTCAAGGGGAATTTTTGGCCACTCCTGACTATTTTTAGGATGGGCGCGATCGATGAGGAAAAACTTCTGCCAGATCAGTTGCTGTTTGACAAGCAGTTTGAGGGGACGGCGATGCCTGAATGATTGCCTAAACAATCAACAGTCTGGCTGTTGAATGATCTGTCGGAGAGACGGTTAGCTGTCT